AATATTTAATTTACATAATACCACAAATCATATAAAATTGATTCCAAAAATTATAATTATAATTGATGCTATGGGTGTTAGGTAATTAACCTCACCCAATATTATATTAATCATGAATATTTATATATAATCATTATAACCATATCTAATTGACGAATATAATAATTCATGATGTATAAATAGTATATTACAATATATTACTACATTTCCCCTTTATTAATTGAGAGGAAGGCCTACTACTCTTCGATAATTCGTTTTGGTGGCTTGTGTGTCCGCCTGCATCTTGGTGCCTCACACCACTCCCCCTGATCGCTGCCCGACATCACCCGTTTATTAGTATCTGCTAACACAAGGTCTCTTAACTGGTCAGCATCGCAGTATGCAATCTAGCGTCTCTATTACATATGAATATCCCCTTACCTTGGACTATTCCTTTTCTCCAGCCCTTAGTGGTTTAATTTCTTATCCATACATGTTGACCATACTATTAGAGCATCTTTCATCACTTTAAAGTTATCTGCTATTTTATTCATTAGTGTCTGGCGACATAAAATTGTTGTACCAGGGGATAGAGTTTTAATCATCATGGTAAATGATGGATTATCAACCAAGGACTAATATCTGAGAAATATTGGCATTTGAATTATTAATTAATTTGGTTTGAAGTGAATTAGTCTTTTTGGATGTAGAGTCGCCTATACCAAAATTATTTAGATGTTTCTCTATTTCCTTAAAACTATTGGCATGAACAGTCTTATAAAATAAATACTATTAGAATGTAAAAATGACAATTTACATTTGGTATTTCTTGAGGTAATAACTGGACTGATTTGAGGAAATATTTTTTTTACATTTTAAACAAATAAATTTGAAGCCAGTTTTGGTTTTTATATTTATTTAAAAAAATTTTCAAATCTAGGGAATGGGAAATTTATATTATAGCTATTAAGAACATTTACTTCCCTGGTATCTTCCATTTCAATAATATCATTGTCTGAAACACTTTCAACGATTTGAATATCCATGGGCGATGACATTTTATATTAACACGTGATTTAGATTTATAATACAAATGAAAATATAAATTACAAATTGAAAATATATTTCAATTTCAAAATTAAATAATAAATCATAAAAATAATAATTAATTATGATATTATATTTAAATTTTCATGTTTATACTTACCTTCATTATATTTTTTAAATAGTTAAGTAAGCTACTTTCAAAAAAAGTAGCACGCTAAAAAATTAAATAATTACAAAAAAAGTAGCTGCTATTAGCTATAGCTACCAAAAAAGATAGCGCGTTAAGTAGCTCGCTACTTTAACAACTCTGTTGCAAAGACTTAAACAAACCCACCGTTTACATAAGTGGGGAGGAGGGGGTACATTATACTCCCAAATTATTTATAGGGGATGGGAGAAAAATATTGAGGGGTTCTCAAAGGGCAAAATTTATTGATATAAAAATTTATTCAATATTTTTATTATAAACCTATTATAATATGCATATATTGCTCAAATGTATTTATTGTACAATATCATAGTCCTTATTTTTCAAATAAAACTTATTTTTGGATAATTTTCTGCTATATTTTTAAATGTAATTTAAAACTTACACATTATATTAGCAAACTCATATTCATGCCAAACAATATACATGCAATCATCGTAAAGAAGGGGAAAGTTTTTAATTTGTATTCTAAAAATATCTTTTTCACATTTACAATTTTTGATAGTTTGTAGTAAACCCCTTACATAATCCAAATAAAGTTTAACTGAGAATTCGGTTAGAAGCATCAAAAGGAGGGTTATATATTTCTAATTTTATTTTCATTGTTAATTTCAAATCTATAATATTTTAAATTGAGTAATTTTTGATTAATCATATTGATGTTAATATCAATTTCCTAATGCACTACTTTAGTAAATGCTTTTAAATTTAAATCACCTGACTAAGAGCTGCTTCAATGCAACTAAATAAGATTTAAGTCCAAAAAAATCTTAAACTTCATTTGTGAGTTTCAAGTTGATGCTTTGGGATTAACATTTTAGAATAAAAATTTGGATACGCTATTTTAAAGTCCAAATTTAGGTAAATTTAACAATAGCTAATTACGACAATGTTGCACATTATCCTAATATTTTATTTTTCGGAAGTGTGTGACTAGATAGGCAGGAGGTCCGAGTTGGCCTCATTTTTTTATTCTTTAAATATCTTGAAATCTTTGATGGTACAAATCGAATTAAAAACGATAGAAATCAGTTCAAATTATTAAAAATTTTAATGATATATTTTAGAATATTTATATTACATGCTTTTTAAAAAAATATATTTTTGAAAGTAAAATATAATTTTAAAATTTAGTTTAAATTTTATATAATTATTCACTATAATATATTTTCAAAGGTAGTTGCTTTCTAATATTTCTTCGAATATTATTTTATCACTTATTTTAAAAGGTGGATTTTTATATAAATTTGTTTAATATATTATTTATATAGGCACTATCATTAAAATAATATCCCTGACTCCGCTTCAAACTATTTATTCCAAATGCTAACATATTTTCCTGTTAATCGCCTTTGATTGTAAAAAAGAAAGAATATAGAATTTTAGATGTGATATGAATACATGAAGAGTAAAATATCTTAAACAGTAGCGTCAAAGGTAATTTTGGATAATTTTTTAAAAAAGGTAATTTTAAAAATAATTAAAAAACTGTTTTTGAGCCTCCATGAGATTGTAAGTCCTTGATCTTAAAAGAAATTATTTTTAACTATTATAATACAATTTAACTTTTTTAGCGCCAATGAAAAGTTTTTCTTTCACAGGATCCATAACAACTCACAGGATGCTTAAATCCAAAATACTTTTTAAAATTAATTGATTTGCAAAATGTTTTTTTTATCTATTATAATACGGTTGTTGCTTTAATATGTTGAAATAAAGAATTCTTACAATTGATCTGTTTTTCAAAAATCCATTAATATCTACGACACATATATTTCAAATAATTATGTAATTGATAATGAAAATTTTTTAAAATTTATTAAGTGTGTAGATTATGCTACACTCAAGTGCAAAAAAGGTATTCATCTGATGATTTTGATCATGACAGATAAACGAACAAGTTTAAGAGTAAATAATTTATCAAATTAAAAGTTCATAAATATTAATGGAGCTTCGATGTCGGAATGGATTCCAGATCCATGTGTCAAAAAATGTAATAGGGATCATCGCTGGTGAATAAAAAAATACAGCCCAAAGAAAAAGAAGCAATGAAAGATTTATCGAAATTTTTAAAAAGTCGATTTTATATATCATATTTTTTGATGATATATTAAAATATCATAACCCCCCCCCCCCCACCCACCAATTTCTTAAGCAATACAACACTCTGTAAACTGTATTCTTGTCTGAAGCATTAAAGCAAGATTAGATAATTCAAATAGAACATTATACATCAAGGCATAATCTGATAAGAATTCACCACTTTCTAACGGGGTCAAGAGCCCGTTAAATTTTACACTGTTGCTGGAATTTTCTGAATTTTGAAGTACGTATACACGGCCTCATAGTTATTCCAGACTGCTAAACCCCATTATTCATCAGGTATACTTCCAATCTTCAACGACTGAATGCCCAATTCAGAGGCTATTTAATCCAACTCGTTTTGATTTTTGTTAGATTAACTATATAATTATATATTGCGTCAATAAAGACTGTAATGTGATTAACGCCTGTAACACTTTTTACTGCATCGAACACAGCTCTAAATGATGATTTAAACAATGCCAGAGCTTGATGGTTGGCTGTATTACGCTAATACTCTTTGAATACCAAATTTCTTTCCATTCATGACACTGCAGCTATCGCTAACAAAAGAATTTCAATTTTTACAAATAAATTTCGGAAAACGTAACGGATTTTAGAAGATCCAGTAAGGTATGAACTATCTCTGCATCTTTCGATTCCAGTTCAATCAGGTCTTGAAATTCAAAAATGGGATTATCATAAGAGGACACCCATCCTTATTTTATGCATAGCCAAGGCGGGGTTATCTGACAACGTAATAGATTCATCTTTCAGGATAATTTTCGATTATAAATTGTAATAGTATTTACAATTTTTATTTGCATTTCTTCGGCCATAAATTATTAACAAAGCAAAATATCTAGAATGCAAAATATGCCTATATCTAAAACGTTGTGCTCTTGTAAATCTATTAACAATTCAAAATCCAAAAATGGGTTATTTGATCTCGCAAGATAGTATGAAGTATTCAATATTATCTTGGTTGGTCCCCAATATGAGTAACCATTTTTTATGCCTCCTCTGTTACAAAAATAATTTGCAATATTTTTTATTTAAACACGTATACACTGCAAGTCAAAAGCTAATATTATGATATTCCTCTATTTCTATTGGCTATACTTTTTAAGAAAGAATTAGAATATGGAAGGGTTCGTTTTTTAATTAAAAATGTATAATTATATGAATATACTATAATTTTGTTCATAAAATATTTTATAACATTCATTTCATGATAAAAATATTAATAATATGCTAAAATACCTCTATGAAAAAATTCAAATTTTTTAGAAGGGACAATTTAACCCTGATAGCATCCTTTATTATATCTGCTCAACTGCCTTGAAGAGGCTGGCTGCTAGCAGCCATCGCTGCCCCATCCCCTATCTCTTCTTTAGTTCACTCTAGAACCCTTGTATGCGTAGGAGTACTACTTTGAATATTTTGTTTTTGTCTTAAGGGACAGTTATTTTATTTCTAATGTAGCATAATAATCCTTTCTTGGATCCCTTCTTATAAATATTTATAATATTCTCTTCAGTTTGGATATTGGAGTTGCAGCAAGCTTCCACAATATAAGATATTTCGTATACTTCTTATTTTACTTATTTTATTATTCGTGGTCATAATAATTTTTCTCTATTTTTTAATATGGAAAAACAATTTTATTTTAAAAAAGGTGCATAATATAATAATCATTTATTCATTCTTTTTTTAAATATCAAAATTGACATCTTTATATATTTGTTGTAATCTTAATATGCAAATTATATTTTAGATAAAATATTACTTGAGGTGAAATATAAAATACATTTTGAATTTTAATATAATACAGAAATTAATAAAAAAGTATGTAAATTAAATTAAATTATAAGTGATAAGACTTATGATATTTACGTTTAAATTTATTGGAATAAATATTGAAATGATATTAAATTCAATAAATTAGTCGCGTATTTAGAAGGTTAGGGGGAGAGTCGGGGCACCTGAGCCTCTCAAAAAATTTTCCAAAACTATATTTTAATTATAAATAGGATTTAATTATTTATTGAAAAATTGTGTGATTTATTTATTTATCTCCCGTTCCACCTCTCCAAAGAGATCCTAGGTACGCTTCTAAACGTTTGTATTTTTATAAGAAGTGCATTATAAGTGGGGCTGCAGCTTAATAATGTTGTATAAGTATAAAAATAGATATTCCAGAATCTAATTAATAAAAGTGTTATAATATAAATAATGGATTGGCATTCTTGATAAAATATATGCTTAAAACAAGGCTCTAATAGTTAAATTAAAATTTTATTGTGGACATTAGTATATTCAAAAAAAATATATATAAGTGAAACCAAAATGCGAAGAATAATTGTTTGAGGCTTGTATGATAATTTATATACATTCACGAGAGTTCAATCACTACAACTTGATTTATTAATGGATAATGAATAAAAATATGATATATTTTAAAAAGTGGTAATGATTAAAAAAATTTCACAAAATGTGAATATTAATGAGGTTAAATAAAATAGTGACTTTTGAGTTCCGATAATCTTTATGATCCACGAGGTGACTGGGATAGAAATTAGAGCTCCCAACCCAGCAAACATAACATATAGAGAATAAGTTTTAGTAAAATTTTCTTTACCAAATACATCTATTATGAAAGTTGTAAGTATAGCCAATCGGCAGCCATAAAGAATTCCAAATATATAATTAAGAAAGCATAGAGTTTCATATATAAAAAATTTATATTTATCGACTACTAAATAAGCTAGACACGTGATACAGTGCAAAATTACAGTTAAATGAAAAAATATAATTTTCTTCTTGTAATTGATTTGAGTACTCAAGACTGCTGAGTTGGATTGGTTTAAATGATATTTGCTTTCTATATTCTTTATTTTTGCCACTTTATTATCAAAATGCAATTCTTTGAAAATAACACTGATATTTGATGTGCCAATCGAGGCATCTAAACTATTCAAACGACCTAAGGTTCGAACTCGGTTTATAAGTTTAAACTTATTTCGACTTTCAATGCGAGCTGTTATAAGAACTATTATAAGTACTAACATGCTTCCACTCAAGTCTCCAAAGCCTATAAAAGAAATCATAGAAGAACCTTGTAGCTGTGAGAGGCCTAATGATTCCGAATAATTCGATATCATAATAGTAATTATCATAGCTCCAGCTTGTTCAAACGAGGCATATAAAAGGAAGCTTATAAATTTATGCCAAAGTCTACTTTTCTTTATAGATGTCTGAGGATCATCAACTTCCTGGATCGTATATTTATCCTGCTTATAGGAAATGTCTGTTATGTTAGTAAACCTTTTAATAATAATATTTTGTGATGGCATATTAACTAGTCCAGATGAAATTGAATTGCCATCAGGATTGTTGATATTGACAAGCAAAAAAGCCGCCACAAAAATGTTAGCGAATATGGCTCCTGATATGAACAAAGAGTCCTTTATATTGTAAGTATCAATGAGGAATCTAAATATTAATGGAAAAATTATGTAACCCGAAGCTATTCCACTTATGCTTAAGGAATGTGCCATAAGATAGTATTTCTGAAAACATAATTCAATAGCACACACTGATGGGGTCATAATAATTCCACTACCGCATCCTATCAGTATTCCCTGCGTGAAGGACAAGAAGTAGAGATTGGGGATCAATATTGCAGAGAGAATAAAGCCGACTATCCCGCACAGACCACCAATAAGCAATGTCTATTTTTTTAAAGTAAAAAGTCGAGTTAAAATATTAAAAAATACATAATGAATATACAAAGGATTTAATAAATCCTTAAAATTTTGATTAATTAGTTTCTACAATAGAATATTACTAAATTAAAATTAGTGCACTGTTACGAATTATCATTTATTCGAATATTCACGAATATCAATTCGGACTATTTGAATAAATTATTTGTATACGAATATTATTCATTACTCGATTAGTTCATACGAATATTAGAACCATTTACACTTGTACTATTACTAATATTTATTCGAAAATATTTTATTGTTGAGTATAAAAATATTAGCAAACATACATTTTACAGAAATTAATAGACATAAAGTTAAGTATATAAATAAATTGCAGAATTAATCAACGTAAATTAGTTACATAAAATATTATTTTTACAATTTAAGCTTTGTAATTTAGATAAGCTCCATAGACGTTGCCAGCATTTTCTTAGGAGGGTAGAAACTTTTGAGTGCCCCCTCCCTTCCATAAATTTTATCGGGACTTTACCCTCTTTTGCAGTCCTTACCCCGGGTCACATTTTTTTAAAGATAACTTTGGTCTTGCACGTCTTTTTTGAAAAATTTTAATTCCAGTAGTAATTAAAAAAATTATCAACTTTTACTTCTATAATTTTTAGAGAAAATGTTATTTATAATGAGATATTATATTAATTTTTTGGAGAGAGGTAGGCGAGAGGAGCGTGGGAGATGATTTTTGTTGGTTTAAAATAATAATTACAAGAATCTTCAAATCTAACAAGCCCTCCCCCCCTCCGATCTCATTAGGAAAAAGTCAATCATTTAAAAAAGGCAATAAGTAATAAGGAATTTTCTCAAAAACTTTTAACGAAAATATTTAAAAAAACAAATAAATTTTAAACTACAAATTTTTTATATAAATATTTAAAAATAATACTTATTATTCGAATAGTATAATATCATTTTACTATTTTAATAATATTCGCGAATAATTCGAATATTCAGGAGCACGAATTAAAATTTTATATTAAAAAATATATTTATTTCTAAAAGGAAATTAACAAATTAAATTGTCATTGGTTCATTAAAAATTACCAAACAATATCCTATTTTGTTAGACATGTAGATTCCCAGAGGACCAACAAAAAATATCAAGGAGCCTGGAATTCCTGTAAGAAATCCAATAAGCACGGCCTCATTAGGAAAGAGTTTTAGATATTCAGCATAATATATTCCAAATGAATAGCAAACACCTTTATTAAATATATGGTTTAAAAATTAAGTGCATAAAAGCCTTGTTTGATCAAAATACTATAATTTATATTGATGATCTGCATCGGGCCTAATTTTTCAAGCCCGGCCCGAAATTTTTTTAAAAAAATTTTGCTGGCCCGGCCCAAACCCGAAATTTTTTAAAAAAGTTTTGACGGCCCTACCCGAATTTATTTAAATTTATTTCTATATATAAAATCAAATATTTTTATTTTACATAAAAAATTCAACATAAAATTGATAAATTTAGATATATTTAAAAATATTTGCAAGACCCGTTTGGGCCGGGCCGAGTTTAGGCCGTTTAGGGGCCGGGTACTTTTGCAGATCTCTAATTTATATTATATAATAGGAAATTGAACATGATCCATTTACAAATACACATTTTTCTAGTTTTTGAATTAGATGTATTCTCTAAAAAAAATGTGTTTTGTACGGAGTAAACTATAATTATTTTTAATAGGGTTTTAAATTAAAAAAAAAATTTAAGCTCACAATATTTTTATAGTGTTTTTATTTAGAATTACTTACGATTTACAATTAGATATCTTCATGGACCTGGTCCCACGACCATGGGCCGGATATTTTCAAATGGACTTGGGTTTAAAAAAATTTTTTAATGGACTTGGGCCTGAAATTTTTTAATTAGATTTGGTTTATTTAAAGTTGCTAATTTAAAAAAAAAAAATTACAATATTTTTTTCATCTAACAATAATAAATTTTAGTATTGTAAACGAAATGATTACTTAAATACACATAAATTTATTTCCATTAAATATATTTCCATTAAATATATTTCCATTAAATATATTTCCATTAAATATAATAACTAAATTTTTGGATATGAACTTGGGCCGGGCTTGGAAAAAATTTTGAAACTTACTATGGGCTTGGGAATATCTTTAAATAATATATATATGGGCATGACATAGGCCTAAAAATATTTTTTAATGCGAGCTTGGACCAACTTCAAAAAATTAAGGCCCATGATGGTCTCTGTTAACAATGCTTATGAGCTTTTAACGTTTCCCACTTTTAACATTTTAAATATGGTCCCATGATAAAAGTTATAAGCGGTTTATTGCCCCTTCATTTGTGAAAAGATTGTTTTTAAATACCATTCAAGTTCTGGTTCCAAATTTTTGATTAGTACTTAATCTAAGTCGATACTAGATGCTTTTAAGATAAATATATAGCAACTTACTTAACTTTCTTATAGTATTTTATTAAATTCAACAACATTTAAATTTTTAATGGATCGAGTAAAATTTATTAACCATTTCTATCCACCCACTGTATCAGTATCAATTTAATTTACAATAATATAATTGAAATATATTATAATCAAATATGAATGCATGGATAATATCAATAGAGTGCAAAAATTATGACGGAAGGGTGAATTGTTGCCTGTCTAGTATCTCAACTTCCCAGAATAAGGTCATATGATGGGGGAAACTGAGACAACTTATTATTTTTTGTTCAAACCTCACATCAGGATCCATATTACATGTAGTCCCTGCTAAAATTAGGAGTATTCGGTTGTTCTATACAAAGCAACCAATCTGAATAAATAATTAATCCTCAAAGCATATATTACAGTGTTATGCAGATTTAATTTCAAAACATTTCCATATTTATTTGAAAATAAAATTATTTGACTTGCAAAATATAATAACATATTATATATTCTTATCAATTTTTACAAGTTAAATAATTTTATTTACAAACGAATTAAAAAATATGGAAATGTTTTGAAATAAATCTGCACAACACTGTAGTTATATTAAAAACTAAGATTATTCTTTAAGAAAATTGAATTTGAAAATATAATTTTGGAAAAAAATGGAAAATTTTCTATTTCCTTGGTTTCATTATAAATTATTTTTACCAAATTATTTTAAAAATAAATCAAGTATTATTATTAATGATTAAACATTATTCCTTATCGGGAAGTAGGGATAATTGTAAAAACTTTTGGGAGTTATAGTTCAATCATTATAAAAAGAAATTTCTAATTTTTTATATCAGACTTAAAATTAGTTGATTTGTTATAATGGCCAGGTGGGAAGATAAAGGCCTCATGGAACATTTTTAGAAGATGGCCATGGTTGGGTGAGGGGGGGGGGTGAAACCCATCATTGCGGGCGTACGGTCTACTTTTACCCGGCCTACGCCCGGGACTCATATGATTTTACTTGAAATTTATACTACGCTATATTAAAAATTTAAAATAATTCTTCTCTCTTTAATATTTACATTTTAATGAATTATTCGTCCTTTGAGTTTGAATGCATTATTCTTCAAGTGAATTTATAAACTTTTGTGTTCATAATTATTGTACAATTATTTCATTCATTTAATGGCTCTCAATCTCAAGCCAATCAGCCTTTAATAAATAAGTGATATAAAATAATCTTCCCATTTATATATTAGGATTAATTTATAGTATAATTCTTATTTTTATTTATGTAATATATTTACTAAATCTTTTCTGTTTTATACATATTTTCTTTATTTTATATTTATATAGTAGGTAAGGTTGCCTGTTGCAAGTAACGGGGAATAATAAATGGTGGGAAATCCGAGATTGTAAAATCTCTAAAGATTAATAAGTTAACAAAATATTTATATAACTAAGAATTAAATAAAATTTCTGGTATATTTTTATAATTTTAAAATAAAAAACGAAATAAGATAATATAAAAAATAATATATTATTTCAAAAAAAGAAGTTAAATTAGAATATAGTTGGTAATACAATGCTGTGCTGATAGTGAGCTTGATCCAATAAAAATATATCGTTGAGTGGGACTCTATAAAAATCCAACATTCGAAAACAGGTAAAGAAACAGAATTGGAATAAATATTATTTATCATTGTATGTATGTTTTATTTTACCTATCAGTCATAATAGATCCCAATATATTAAAATTGTTAAATGATATAAAATTAATACCATAAGAAATAATTAAACTTTTACTTCTAAATCGGAGAGAAAAACTTTTATTTTTAAATCGGTTTTGAACACTTGGAAAGAAAAGATTTTTCTGAAGTTGTGCCTTAAACTTCCTCCAAAGTTAGCTTAACAATTTTCGCATCATTGGTAAACATTTGCTCATATAATCAAGAATCTTACTTAATTCGATTTCTTACAATAATTTTAGTTCTACTGACATCATTAAAAGGCTTCTAGATAATCCTGCCCAGTATTTGCTCGCAGTCTATTTTTAATTATTTTTAATTTGCTGAAAGTTTGTTCGCAATTCATTCGTAAAAATGATAAAGTGAGGTATTCTTAAATTATATATAAGCTGATGTAAGCTGATGTAAGCTGATGTAAGCTGATGGCACATTAAATTTCATATATACATATCAAACATTGCAATTTGTATTGCATTTGGTAAAAGTTTCTCCATCAATATTTCTTTCATAGAATCTTGAATAAATTCTTCATTCTTGCTTTCAGGTTCTGATGGGTAATTATTATGATAAATCAAATCGTCTGTACTCTTTTTCATGCCAATAAGTAGACTATCATAAATTCTAGAAAAAAAAATTAGTTCTTCTAGCAATTTATCCTTATTTTTTGCTAATGAAGAGATGCTTTTCAAAGCCCCTTTAGTTTTACCTATCCATTTAATTTCATCAAAACTTTTAGGATGAAAATACTGCGCATCAATTATTAGATGTTGATTTTTGAAAATTTTTCTGCAAAACTAGTTACTATCTGATCGATGATGTCATGAAATATTTCATCAGCAAATTTTTAGGGGAGTCATTTGAATGTTCATCTGAACATTTCTCAAAACTTATCTTCTATTTACGACTATACGTTCCGGTATTTCAGTTTCCATGATTTATTTGGATATCATCAAATCGGCCAAATATTTATTGATAGATAATGTCATATTTGTAGCTTTCATATGTATTGAGAGGTGTCACAAATACATAAGCTGAAAATGTGGCTATTACTATCAAAATATTCTCCAATGATATTCATTGTAGGCCTTGCTTAAAGAAACAAGAACTTAATATATATATAATTTATTTACCTTAAAAATTAGTCATTTTAACTACTGCAAAAGGTTTTCTGTAATTTGTAGCTTGATCATATATGCTTGTATCCTGACTGCTCTGTCCATCTGTATGCCGAATCTTTTATTTTCGCTTGTTCCTCAATTCGCTTTATAAGCGTGTATAAAATTGCATCAATAACTTTGCCAACGTTAGTTTTTAATAATAACCAAGTAGGTAAATATTTTAAGACGATAATAATACGAATAAAATACTTCCCTATTTAATTTCTATTGGATGCATATTTTAAGTACTAATCAAAGTGGGAAATGGTTTTATTTTTCCATCATTCATGGCTTAGCATTTAAATCTAATATCTATTTCTTGAGAGCGCTTATAGTGCTTATAATTCCATCAGAAAATTAAATTAATATTTAAAAATGTCTAAATTTATCATATTTAAAAATTATTTTGTATTATATATAACATATTTAGATTTTATGCCAATTTTTTTTAAAAAAAATTCTTTTTTCTTTTCTAAGGTCCCCAAATTCTTCTCTAAAGGCTCCCAAATTTTTAAAATCTCCAAACTCCGTGGCACTTTTTCCCACTAGGGTTACTGGCCAGTCCGCCTCTTATATAGCCTATTATGATATACTTCTTAGTTTTTATAATCAATTTTTATTTTTGAATTAAAACTACCATTAGTGAGGATTTCAATATAAGCTTTATATTTTAGAAAAATTAGCAGAAAATGGTATGCAAGATATGTTATTTTATTTTTCAATATCCCATAGTGTAGGAGTTAATATAATGGAAGATAAAAATAAATAACAAAGCTCTCTAATTTAAGTACCCAGTAGAATTTTCGAGTACCTCAATTTAGGTGCTTTTTAAAGTGCTTTTTAAAAAACACCTAAATTAAGATTTTACAAAAAAAATATTACCTAAGCTTTAAGATTTCACATATGTTTAGTCCTCTTTTCTGACCAAATCTCGAAGCTTAAGTAAATATTTTAATTTTTGAATAAAATTTAGATTTAAGTAATATGTAAATTTTAATATCCAAAATTGCAAATGAGATAGAATAATAATTAATTTAGACGAGTATCATGTAAAATTTTATAAAAAAAAAATAAGAAATTAAGGTTCAACTCTAGGGAATTGCCGTTACCTCATTAAAATTTATTTTAGTCTGTCTATAATCACATGATCTGTTTACTATCAAAAAAAATAATTATTCCTATCCTACCTAATCCACAATCTCTCAAACCTTTTATTAACCACCAACCCTATCTCCTATAATCCACTCCATATCTTTACCTCAGTTATTACTTGTTTTAACTTAAATTATTTATACTGATTAAAAAATTTCCTTCAGACATACCTTATTTGAGTTGAGCTAATATTATATTATCGAGATTACTACATAGCGAGGTGTTTTACAACTCCATTGAGGTATATAAATTTTTTTATCTGGCCTAACAAGAACTCTATAAAAGATTAGCCCGTCCAGTTTTGAAAAATAGACCATAGCCCGTCCAATATTGGAGGGGAATCTTGATTTAAAAAAACTAATTTTGGAAGCGTAGTAATTAAACAGAATTAAATTCACTAGGTAATTATGAATGCTCATACAAAAAATTGAAATTAAAGTTTAGGACATTAGACGAATTTTTCCAAATTCGATTGAATTTATTCGGTTCGTCTGAGGGCTGAATCTGTTCAAGAAGAGTTTTGATATCCTAATTAACACAACCATAACAAATTTATTCAGTGAAACTCTTGAGTAGCAATCGTGGCTTGCTTTTTCTTCATACAAAAAGATGAGTGAAATATTAAATTATTTATTTGATATTTTATAAAATATTGCAATCATTTGTGATGACGACTATGGCGGATTTTATCAATATCGATTCAATAGTAGCTTTGTAATTTTAAAAGGTATCAATAACATGAAAAAGAATAATAGAGCAAGACACTCACCGATTCACGATACTTAGGGGACCTTGTGATTTGGCTGATGGGAACAGGAGCTCGTTTATTTTATTTAAAAAATGAAATAGTCCATGGGAGTTTTAATCTGTATTTCTAATGTTAATCCGCCTGCTTGTTTATGTAACACTATAAATTTTAAAAGTATATAATCGAGCCTCCTTTTTTTGGAGAAGGGAGGGAGGCTAGATCAGACCGAAATCCTTCATTAATAATTCTATGCAATTTTTAAGCTTTAATAGCATAGGTTTAGGTCTACACAAATATGAATAGAATAATTGTATTATTTGTATTTGTGCAAATCAAATAATTTATTATTCGTATTCTAAAAATAATCATTCTATTTGAAAATTAAACCTTATAGAATATTTTCAAAAGTTGTAGATAGATTATTAAAAAAATAATTATTAATAGATTGGAAAAATTCACCAAGGAATATGCTGATAATTATGAATAATTTCTATTTCTAGTAATTTCAAATATTGAATAGTTTTTAATAATTCGATTGAATAATATAGAAACTATTATTTGATGAATGGGTTTTAATCTAAACAATTTTGTTATTCGTATATTTAATGAATCATATGGCGTTAAACTATTAGATATATACTAATTAAAAAATTAATTCTATAGAGTGATCCAAGATAAAACTTAAGGGAAATAGGGTTGCATAAAATCGGAAGTTAATTCTAATATATTTAAAATAATATACACATCAAAATTTTATCACTCCATAATCAAGAACTTGAAATGAAATTTTGAGTAAATTAATAGAAAATAGTAGGATATCTTCCAGAAACTTTTGAAAAAAGTATCCACAAACACAAGATATATTCTCCTTTTATTTAAATTTTATCAAACAACACTGATGATTTATTTATATATGATCTAAAAGTTTATACTTTATATAAGTATTCGTAAAATTAGAATTTGAGCGTGGATAACCTAAGCTGACTTGTCTAGAAAGAGTAACTGTTAAAATAAAAATATTATTTGTCTTATCGACTAAATAAAATCGTAGTAGAACAGAATGAATAAACTGTGTTGTTTATTTAAATCATATATATTTTTCAAGAATGTTCTCCTAACCGAAGGACTCATTTTTGGTTGATCAGAATCTTAAAAATATCATTATTCTAGGACTTATAAAATTTTTAAAGATTTTTTTCTTAACAAAATGATACATGATATATTCTTAAATAATATTTCGAAGTAATTTAAAAATTTGATTAAATGAGTTCTTAACCTTACCTCCCGTCATAAAACAGCTGATAAAAGTGGCCAGCATAACGAACCAAGCCCAGCCTCCGTCGACATCATTTGAAAATTTGTGTCCTGAAATGTCAAATTGGGTTTTCCTGGTAATAGCAAAAAAAGCTTTCGCCAGTCGGATGAAATATTTCATAAATTATAATATTATTTTATTTTTAATAAAAAGAATTAATTGAAATTATTTTTTATCAGGTATCTTAATACTATAATATCAATTTTTAATATATATTTTTCAAGGTAATCTTGTTGCAGTAAATAATAACTAATTTTGTAGGATCATCGAAAATTTTTTTTCTTCTTTGCCATTAAAATTTTATAAATAAAATATGGATATTGTATTTTTTTTTAGATTATGTGATCCATTTTTGGATTATCCAAAGTGCATATTATAATTAATATATATTTTTACCAATAAAGTTATATAATTATGTCATTATAAACTTTTTAAATATAACTCTATTAAATATACATAAAATTTTAATCTTTCACTTTGGTCTTTGTAACCGAAATAAAAATTGGAATTATATCTCAATATAAAATATAAACATTATATGATTTTGCCTACAACATAATCATAATTTAATTTTTAAAACCATGCTAAATTTTATGGCCTAAGCGTATTTTAAAATATATGTATAAAATGTGATCCATCACATTTTTATTTATATTATTATAATACATTATATAATAACTATCTTGTTTACCTCATTTGGATAATAATATTTGATATAAAGATAAACAAAGAAACTATGATATGCTTAAATAAAAATAAATTTTAGGGGTATTATTCATGAGGAAGGGGGGCGGGCACCTTTTTAGTCAACATATTTATTCAAGATTATTTTATATTTTAGTCACCAGAGCTTGCTGTTTTACTAAATTTAATAGAAGCACGCCTAAAATGTTTCTAGATCTGATAAAAACATTTTTTTGAGCCCACCTAAATATTAAAACATTCAATTAATTTTGACAAAAGATTTCATCTAATCTTAAGTATCACTTTATTTTTTTTAAGTCAGAACTTGACTTTTTGTATCTTCTATTTATCTAACATTTAAAGATAATTTGTAATTTTTTTTTTAGAATATAAATGATTGGCGTTCCATGTTAAAAGATAAAAATAAAGCCAATTTTAAAATTAATTTTGACAATATACAACCGATGACAACTTTATTTTTTTCGACATTTGTCATTATATTTATCTAGGCAAGGTTATAATTTGAATATAACGTGAAATTATAATAAAGACGAATATATAAAACTGGTAATTATATAAAATCTGAATTTATCATTAAAATCAAATTTGATATCGTATTCACTTATAATAAATAAGTAGAGATATGTAAAATCCGCCCATTAAGAATTTTTACATTAGTTACCCATCTCGGCCGGTTTAATTTTTTCCCCTAACTCGCTTGTTAAAACTTTACTAAAAGTCAGCCCCGGCCTGAAATTTAAGAATGTTCTTACAATCACATTTTAATATCTATATCTAATTTTTCCCCAATGTCAAATAAGGCTCTTATATCTCTTTTCCTCTATGGCTTGTTTTATAAATCAATTGTGTTTGATATCTGTACTGATAAATAACTTGTTAGACAGCTCTTAAAATACAAAGGAATAAAAATATTGTAATTTATTTTTAAACAGTATACAAAATAAGAATATTAGCTTGAAATTCAAAAAAATATATTAAAATTTACAAAAAATCAGTGCAAGCCTGCCTTATTTTTTATGTATAATATAAAGGAAAAAGATAGGTAAAATTCCTAGCATCTATTAATATTATTTTCAATATTGCGTTTAAAATTTGTAGAAGATATAAGAGAGATTTAAAATTTTTAAGGACAAGGGAAAAAAAGGACAAGGGAAAGGTAAAGAAAAGGGGAAAGAAGTGGGGAAAGAAGAGGGGAAAGAAGAGGGGAAAGAAGAGGGGAAAGGAGAAGCGAAATGAAAGCGAAAGGAAAAAGGAAAGAAATATAAAGGAAAAGAGAAAGATAAAAGAAAAAGGTAAAAGGGGAAGAAAAGGGGAAAGGAAAAGAAAAAGAAAAAGGAAAAAATGAAAGGAAAAGAAAGGCAAAGGTAATAAGAGTAATTAAAAGGGAAATGAAGGAAAAGAAAAAGAAGAAGGATTATGAAAAAGAAATTAAAAACGGAAGAGGGGAAAGGGAAAAGGAAAGAAGAAGAGAGGAAGAATAAAGAAAGGAAGGAAAAGAGAAAGAAAAAGGTGGAAAAAAAATTAAAAGGAAAGAGGGGAAAGAGAAAGAACAGGGGAAAGACAAAAAGGAAGTAGGGAAAAGAAAAACTTAAAGAAAGAGGAAAGAAAAGAGGGCAGGAAAGGGGAAAGAAATAGAAAAATGGAAAGAAAGGAAGAAAGCAAAAGGAGAAGGAAAAAAAAAGAAAAGGGGAAAGAAAAAGGAACGGGCAGAAGAAAGGGGGAAATGAAAGAAAAAAAGGGGAAAAAAGAAAGGGAAAGGAGAAAGAGAAGGGAAAAGAGAGGGGAAAGGGGTAATGAAAAGATAATGATGAGGGGAAAGGGGAAGATAAAGGTAATGGAAAAGTAAAAGGGAAGGAAAAGAAAAGAAAAGGGAAGTGATAAGAAAAGAAAAAAGGGAAAAGAAAAAGGAAGAAGAGGAAGGAAAGAGAAGGAGAAAGAAAAAGAAAAAGGAAGGGAAAGAAAATGGCAAAGCAAAAGGAGAACGGAAAAATGGAAAAGGAAGGATAAAGGAGAAAGAAAGAAGGGGGGAATGGAAAGAAAGGGGTGGAGAGAGAAAAGATAAAGAGAAATGTAAGGAAAAACGGAAAAGAAAAGGAGAAGGAAATAAAAATGAGATGGAAAATAAAAAAAAAGAGAAGTGACTAACTTTATTTTGTATGGTTGGTATAATTATCTGGGTTTATAATCTTTGGAACGTTAATTTTGTTGATTAACCAGATATCTCTTTCTTTGTTTTGCTAATCAAAGATAAATGTCAAATTTGTACATCATTAAGAGGGGTTTAAGACAGGGCCTGTTTTCTAAAATAAAAAATAATAATACACTAACCTGCAGAGGAGTCAATATTAGGTTTAACTCTCTAAAAATAGTGTGAATATCATCAGTAGATAAAATAAATGTAATCTAAAATATAAGAAAGTATTAGAAAAACATTTATGCATTTTTATCAGAGTTGTTGAAAGATACTTTTTTGATGGGTCTAGATAAGATACATTATCTAGAAAGTTATCTAAATACAGATACAATTTTTATTATACTCTTACGCGCATGGTTATTATAATTAGTTTTACCAAATTTTAAAATAAAATAACCTAGCGTGATTACCCTTAGGGACATACCCTCGTTAATTTTATTGTAACCATGGTTGATAGACCTATATTTAATTCTATATATTTGACAAAACTATCGTTAAAACGAGATCTTCTAGTAAATCGATGGCAGAGAACGCATCTAAAGCAGACCTGGAAGAAATTTAGAACGCTGTGACGGAAAGATTGCGCAGTACGTGGAGTGACATCACAAACATCAACACCAAGTTAGACACAACAGCTAGCCAACTGGCTAAATTGATAGCGTTATTCAATGCCCAAAGAGACGATAAGAAAACGCCTGGACTTATGTTCTCACCTTCTCCGCCAGACACGACCAAGAAGGCCGTAATAGAGAATCTCTTCATAAACAGCTCGCAAAAGCCGTCTTCGAGCGGAAATCCTAAAAACTTCTTTGCTGCAGAAACCGATGAGACGCCCTGCGTGGACCTCACTAAGGAGTATCCAATTTATACTGACTGAAGAAGAGATACGCACGCTAAATATAATGGCGGAAACTGACAAAGACAAGCTCATAAGAACCGCCAAGCATTTTCTCAATGCAATATGCCTAGCGGAGTGTATGCCAAGATTTCAGCTGAATGGGAGAGATATCTTTGAATTCCCATCGCTTAAAGTATACGTCAAGGAAATGAGCGTCCATTCCTCGAAGGGATATCTCAGTGATGTAGCCGATAAAGCCCAGACCTACGCAAAATCAGTAGCCTTGGGTTGGGACAAATTAAATATGGGTCGCAGAACAAATTAAATATGGGTCGCAGAACAATTTCTGCAAATTCGTCATTGTGCAAGCCCCCAGGCCCAGTCAACACTTTCGTTCAGCCCCCGCTTCCGCTGGTGGACGAAAGACGGGGAGTATAGGGAGAGACAAGCATCCTACCACCGACGACTACGAGCCTGCGATTATCGTCACCACCAACAAGGCCGGCAGTGCTAAGCGAGGGACGAGGCCATCAAACCGTAAAGGATTTTATACTAACATTACCCCCGTCGGCTCAAAAACTAGGAATAGCGAGGGCTCTGGCGCCCTGGGCGGACACTTTTGACAATGGATCCGGGATGTTAGGTGTCAAAAGTTTTTGCCGGGAGGGGCGCTAGAGGAGGAGTCGCAGGACGGAGACGACATCGATTAAGAACCTAGCGACACGTCGTTAGTTGACCTCCCAATCACCGAGCAGTTTGACCATGACGGAGAACCTATCATCTTGGCGAACGTTTATTCAGATAGGAAGGTTTGCATAAACCTAAATTAGGATTCTATTGTGAAAATTCATGAAATAACCTAAAAAATTTATTGACTCGATATCAAATTTCTCAAAATATAATTAAAATAATGATTTTTAGATTCTAATATAATAATATAATGTATGAAGATATATTTATAAAAATGATTATAAATAATTATTAGATTTCAGTAATAAAATATTTTCATTTTGGTCATTCAGGCATCCTTGTTTATCTGTATAGCTACACTAAAACGTATTTCTACCGGAGAGCTTGAAGGGATTTAGGTGTTATATGTTATGAATAACAATTTTATATCAGGATATTCTTTAAAAATATTAAAATCTTGACATTTACTTTTGAAAAAATTATTTAAAATTTGTTGATTATCAAAATTTAAATCATTATTAACATTCATATCTGCTGCTGTGGGGTATTGAAAAAAATTGGATATTAAATTTATTTTTTTTTCACAGGTTATTTGTTTGCAATCAGTTGAAGACCTTGATAATTCATCAACTAATTTTTGTATAAATTATTTTTTTCATTAACAATATTTGATGTTTTCTCTTAAAATTACAATTGTAAACATTTATTTAGTATCTGTAACCTTAAATTTTTTTACAATGTTGGAAGTTGAGGTAATGCTAACTATAATTTTCGTTTTTTTTGGTAGACAAGGCAAACATTTTACTATCAGAGATTTATTTTCTTTATTTTGAGATATTATTTAAAAATATGGTCTATAATTGGCCATGGAAAAACAATGTCTGAACTTGTTGATGCTTCATTGATTATTATTTCTTCCTCTTCATCACTATTAATATTAGTCTAAAATAAATTTTTAAAATTAGTAGAATAAAATAAAATTAACCAATTCCATTGAAAATAAAAAAGGCAGATTCCTTGTATGTCTGGTTTATTGATAAACTCGGATATAGGAAAATAAAAAAA